ATTCAAAACTGTAAAAAATTCACCGCCACTGAGTCAAGTTTGATTCATGATGACCCTATAGGACAGGGTAGAACTACTGCTGTGGGGTTCTGGGACTGTAATCCTCCACGGGACTGGAAACGCTGTCTTTCTCCTGAGGAACACCTGGTGGTTTCAAACTGGGGGGTCACGGCCCAACTCATTACCACGATAGGGCTCCTAAATGTCAATTAGGTTGGCATATAATAGGGTTACTAGCATTTTAAAGTATAAATATATTTTCTTAAATTTCCAAATTTGAGTTGCTAACACAGCAAAGACAGATAGGGATGGCTCATGTAAACCAAGGCTCTTTGAGGTTCTCAGTAATCTTTTAAGAGTGTAAAGAAACCAAACTATCGAGAATTACTATGCTACTCCATGGACTAAATATGAATAGTGGTCCTTCTGAACCCCAAATGAGCGACTGAGGAGAATTGAGACATGTGTGAGGAGCTCCAACAACCAAAACTAAACTCACTGCCATTAAAGTTGCCTTGGACACTTACAGACACTACCTGAGAAGATAGAATTGCCTCTGGGGGTTTCCAAGACTAAATCTTGACAAGAGTAGAAAGCTTCATTTATCTCCCATGGAGCAGCTGGTGGTGTCAAACTGCTGACCTTGCAGTTATCATCCTAATGTACCTTTCCATATACTTATTGGATGTTTATGTGTCTTTTGCCTATTTTTGTTGGTTTGTCTTTTTACGATTCAGTTGAGAGAGTTCTTCATATGTTCTGAATACCAGTTCTTTGTCAGATGTATGTATTGCTAGTGGCTTCCTGTACACGACTTCCCTGTGTACTTTATTAATGTTGCATTTTTTGAGAAGATTTCAAGGGCAATGAAGTTAAATGTAATTGATTTTATCTGTTGTCATTAATGCCTTTCAGTCCAGTTTCAGGATTCTTTATCTAGGTCATGACACTATCTTACTTCTAAACTGACCCTATGTGTACAATTTGGGACTTGAAAAAAAATCTAACGAAAATTTTAAAAGAAGAAACAAAGCAACGTTGTACTCTGTCTCCAGTCACAACTCACCAAAAAGTTATTCAATAAAGAACAAAAATGGGTGGGTTTTTTATCATTTTATTTTTAAATTTTAATAAATCATTTTACTGGGGACTCTTACAGCTCTTATAAAATCCATACATCAATTGTATCAAGCACATTTGTACATATGTTGCCATCATCATTTCCAAAACATTCTTTCTACTTGAGCCATTGGTATCAGCTCCTTTTCCCCCCCCTCTCCTCCGCCCTCCCATCCTCAAGAACCCTTGATAATTTATGAATTGTTTTTCAATTTTTACACTGTCTGTTAACAAAAATGTTTTTGAAAGAGTTCAGAAGCACTATAACATCTTGGTGTTTGTTGCTCTCTTCTTGATTTTTAAAATAAGGACAAAACCTTTCAAAATGAATCAAAACTGCTAAAATTTAGTCCCGCAGATTGTACAAGTTATTTGAGGGTTGCTGTTTGGCACTGCCCTATTTGTTGTGGAATAAACAGTGGTGTCTGCTTGACCTAGACAGCTGATACTCTTGATGACCTCCAAGTGTACAGTCATTCTCAAGCAGCTAAGTCTGGCATATATTTGGGGAAGACAGCTTGAGAGAAATCCTTCTGTTCCCCACACATAATGATTAAAAAAAAGAAAAAGAAAAGAAAATACATGTCCTAGATGCAGTGCATCTCAGACCTCAAAGTGACATCTATGCTTTTTAACACTTTAAGGGGGTCTTCTGCAGACATCCTCAAAGAAACGTTGAGGTGAGGGATGGAGAAAAAATAGAAACATGGGTTATAGTTACCCGCAGGAGCAGATAGAGAGCGTGAGTACAGTGAATGACTAGAGGGGCCTCTGAGAACCAACAATAAGTGGATCATTAGGAAATGAGATAATTTATTGTGCCAGCCTGGCTGATAAACACAAGTGGGATTAACTGAAGGGCAGAGAGATAAATGGCTTGGTAAGCCTCACCTTTCTTGTCTCGCTCTGTGATCATCAGACCAGTGTGCGGCTGCCTTGCTTGTTCTGTGCCTCAATTTAAAGGCTACACTGCCTGTGGGACGCCTAGCCTGTGGACTGTGTCGCTGTAAGTTGAGGTCCCTTTAAGACATCTCTGGAGCTGGGGACTGGCGGTTGGTGACCTGCCTTGCGATTGGCTGCTGTGCTGACATAGCCTAGCTCTCTCTACAAATAGAGGAAGATCTGGCAGCAGACTAGACTTGAAGGATTGCTAGTCTCTCAACTTTCTCTCACAGACGTGAGTTGCACTGAGCCATTTGTAGTGCTTTATAATTTAACAGTTTATTTCTTGTATTATATATTTATCTGTATATGATTTAACAGTTCATTTCTTGTTATATATCTAATTATCTTTATAAATAAATATATTAAATTATCAGCAATTTGGTTTTATCTCTGTAGAGAACCCTGTCTAACACAGGAAATATCCTGAAGGAATAAAAATGTGGGGCCAACCAACAACAAAAACAAAAGACATACTCCATAATTGCCGCATCTGAAACCCTATCTAGTCCAGGAAGTTAGACACTTTCATACAAAGGGCATATGAATACTGAACGATTGTAGAAGACTATGGAGGACAGTGGGAGCCCAAAATCCATCTGCAGAATATCTAGTCAGATGAGGCCTCTGGAAGATGCCCTCTGGCCACAGGCGAGGGACCCAAACACCTTTACATCAGACAGAGATGATTGTAACCTTGATTATGGTAGAATGAACCTTGGTATCATATGTTATTTGGTCAGTTGACCTCCCTCTTGACCCAACCTGAATTGGCTCTAGAACTGATTGCGACAATGTATATACAATTCTTTAAAAAAACAATTTAAGAGGGGGGAAAAATTGAGGAGCTGATGCCAGGGGCTCGAGTGGAAAGCAGATGTTTTGAGAATGATGATGACAATAAATGTGCAAATGTGCTTGACACAATGGATGTATGTATGGATTGTGATAAGCATTGTATGAGCTCCCAATAAAATGATTAAAAATATATACACATGATAGCTGAGAGGAGATAATAATCTGCATGAGTATTACTGTAATGCTCAAATACACAAATTAGCAGACACTTTTGAGTGGAAATAAAGCATTACATTACTATTTATAATAAAAAATTAGGGAGCAAATGGCAGCACTCAAATGTAGTTTCCCTCTCTAGTGGGATTTCTGTGGTGACCCTTGTGATGGCCATTTTATTAGGAATCCTCCTAGCAACTTTGAGGTTCACTTTGTACACTGGTGCAGATAGAAACTGGAAACAAAGGGAATCCGGGACAGATGAACCCTCAGGACTAGTGGTGAGAGTGGAGATACCAGGAAGGTGGAGGGAAGGTGGGGTAGAAAGGGCGAACCGATTATAACAGTCTACATATAACCTCCTCCCTGGGGGATGGACAACAGAGCAGTGGGTGAAGGGAGATTTCGGACAGTGTAGGATATGACAAAATAATCATAATTCATAAATTATCAAAGGTTCATGAGGGAGGAGGGAGGAAGGAGGGAAGGGGGAAAATGAGGAGCTGATACCAAGGGCTCAAGTAGAAAGCAGACGTTTTGAGAATGATGATGGCAACAAATGTTGTATGAGTCCCCAATAAAATGAGAAAAAAAAACTTCAAATACTATATCAAGAAAACTACTAAAAAAGAAAACAAATTTGACCCCTGGATACCATGGGTGAAAGAGGAAGAGTTGTTGCTTATGGGGCATTGTGTTCATGGTCATAGTAGTGGGATAATTTGGAAAAGGGTATTGATAATGGTTGTACAAGATGAAGAATGTAATCAATGGTACTGACCTATACATGTAGTTGTTGAATTGGAGAGTATTTGTTGTGTATGTTTTTGCTACGATTTTAAAAATTACATGAATAACAGTGAGTACAAGGAAAATGTTCTAGAATTGATTATGGTGATGATTGTACAACTCTTCTTGACATGATTGAATTATTTAATTGTATGACATATGAAGTGCCAACAAAACTGTTTTAAAAACTAAGCTAAATAAATTAAATTAAAAAAAGAGTAAACTATTTGTGAACTTTGGACTATTAAAATTAGGTTCACCTTTTGGCATGGGGTTAACATTTTAAAGCCTAAGCTCCAATGCAAGTTTTATCATTATTCTAAGTCATTGTGATGGGATGCAGTGGAAAATAGTAGTTATAAAAGGTATATTCAATTTTGGTCTTTAAAAACACTTAATAAATTCAATTTCCATCAGTTGCTTCCGACTCATAGCAACCTTATATTGGGGCAGGATAGTACTCTCCCTGTGGATTTCCGGGACTGGAACGCTTTACAGAAGTAGAAAGCCTTGTCTTTTTCCCGTGAATGCTTAATAGTGCAAGGTATATTGTTTGCCAGGTGCCATTTGGGACTGATAAATATATATTATATAAATTATAAATGTGCATATATATGTATGTATGTATGTAATCATATATTATATATATACATAATGAACTGTGATTATCAGGAATTCCTCAAGAATGAACAGCTCTCATGGGAACTAAAGGCCAAATGCAAACCCAGTTTATTAATATGCTAGGGATCCTTAAAGTGTACTGTCCACCATTGCCACCCACCTCTCTCGTGAACGCGGGCCCAGCCGCGCTCCCACGGCTCAGTCCGGGAGGACCGTTATCTTCCAGCAAACAAAGTGGAGGAGCCTGGGGACCTGGGCGGATGAGGTAGGAAGGTTCGCCACATCACTGCCGGTCCACAGCCAGATGGGCGCCCAAATATCTGCGACGCGCAGGCGCCGGAGGACCCCGACCCGAAGCTCAGGGTCCTGAGTGGGGCTCGGGGCCTCTGCCCGTCCGACCATAGAGCGTTCAGACCTCCAGCGTTCCTAGAGAGTTTCCGGAAGTGGCTGTAGCACGAGAGGCGTGTCGGCCGGTGCGGTACCTCCGCAGGTTGGGAAGTTAGCTACTGGAAGGGTCGACTCCCTCTAAGGTTTTCGCCCCTCCTTTCACTCCGCCCTTTCGCCAGGTCTGTCTACCCTTGGCCGCCCCCCGGCCACCCGTGGAGCTCGCGGTGAGTGGGGTTCGGTCGCCGGGCCTGATGAAAGGGCGCTTTGTGGCTGGAGCAGGCCCCAGGGCTCTGGGAAGGGGTCTGGTTCGAGGCCGCGCCCCGCCATGATCGGATGCTCTGAGGTCGCGCTGTGCGGGTGCAGGCCACACTCTGGTCCTCAAACTTTTTGCTAGGAAACTTGTTCTGGGGGCTGGATTTCTTCATAGCTAATCGTTTTCTAGTAGTATTTTGCGGCAGATCTGAATTGTCTTAAAATGGCAAAGGACCCTTATCCAAGTAATGCCCACATTCTGAATTGTTTGCACTGAGCAGTTTTGCATTTCGGCCACAGTTAGGATATCCATGAATCTATACGTCTGTGTGTGTTTTGGAAGCCCAGTTAGCTATAGAAGTCTTTCTTGGTTGCTTTAAAGTTATTCTGCCTATTTTGACCCTTTCAGAAAAGTGTTTTGACCAGATAATTATGCAAGCGAAAATATTGAACAGTTTCAGGGTAATGTAGACGTAAACCTTATTCATAATACTTATTTCAGTTGTTTTTATTGAACTCGTTAAGTGTATGTAGCAGAGAAATTGTTCTAGCAAATGTACACACTTGCTGATGATTGTTGTGTTCAAATGTAGAATGTGGTAGATATTAAAACATGCAGCTGAGATCATTTGAGATACCTCCAAAGCCCAGTAATTATGTCACTTACCCTTTCTTGGTCAGTAAAGCTTAAAAAGTATCTTTCTTGTTTTAGCTTATTTTCGGTGTTCAGACATTTCTCAAATTAGACAACTAGACTGAAGCAAGAAAACGTTCCTTGTACATGTTCTGAGAAAAATAATGTGGGTAAGAGCTGAGTTGCACCGTAGTAGTTCACAGGGTTATATAACATTTGAGAACCTGGAAAAACCTTATCAAGAAACTGCTAGCTGTGTTTTCAGGGGACCTGGTGACACAGTGGGTTAAGTGTTGGGCTGCTGCTGCAACCGACCAGCAGCTCAGTGAGAGAAAATTTTACATCCTCAGAAACTATGGAGTACTATTTTGTCTTAGGTGTACCATGAACCATCCTATAGAGTCACTGGGAGCTAGAATTGACTGAACAGCAATGGGGTTTGGGTTTAGGTATTCTTTAAAAGTGTATAATCGGGGGGAGGGGGGGCAGTCTATAAGTGGGGGGAAAGCTATATAAGTATTTATTTGAAAGTGCTTGCCAACTTGATGTGGCTATGTATGCACACAATTTGTGGGGAGAGTACACAATGTAATAATTTTGTAGCACATATCTTTATTCATTTATAGGTTGTAATCCTCAAAAATGGGCTGCTTGGAGAGGGAAAAGACTAGAATATGGAATTTAACCACCAGAAGGAAGAATTAAGATGGGGGGTGGCCTACATGTTAGGATGAAATTGAGAGAACCCTAATTGGTGACATCCATCAGTTGCAGTATTACATTTGAAAACACAACCTCTCCCCAAACAAACAAGCCAGCTGACAAAACCCTGGGAAGAAAAGCTAAGCTGTGAAGATTCAAGTCAGAAACTCCCTACAATCTCCTCCCCACCCCTCGAAGTGCCTCTGCCTGTTTTCTCTATTTTATGTTACCATTGCTGGTGCTTTTCTTCATTCTCTGAAGCTTCCAGTGTGCATTTATCTGTTTCCTTTTTCTACAGTGCTGCCATTGTGACTCTCCTATGGATTATGGCTTCTCTGCTGAAAAGAAAAAGATCAGTGCTACAAACAAACATGTGCAGGAGGGCCATGACCACAAGCAGATAGATGCTTGCTATATTTTATACACTATAATACAGGGGCAGTAGTTATTCAGTGGTAGCATTTTCCCAGCCGATGCACCATATGTGCAACATTGTCAATGAGGCTTATGTGTTGCTGAATAAGTTTCTGCAGTGCTTCCATCCTAAGAAGGACTAGTAGAAAGGACCTGCTGATCTACGTTTTACCACCAGTCAGTGTAAATGTGACCAGTCACAACAGTCTGATGTGGTAGCCAGTAATGGAGATGGTGCAAGGCTGAGCAGCAAAGGGTTGCCATGAGTCAGTGACAGCTGTCAACAGCACTACAATATGATAAGACCTATGTTTGGATTGTGTACAAAAGACTTTGCCAGGAAGCTGGAGTTGAATGGTTTCAGCTAGACCAGATAACTCTTTGTTGTTGGACTGTGTTGTACATCATATGTTGTTTAGCTGCATTCCGTGCCCTCTAGAACTAGTAGCACCGCTGAGCTCCCCTCCCCATTGTGATACAGATGTCTCCAGCAAGTTGTCATATGTCCTATGTCCAGGAAATCAACTTCAATTGAGAACCATTGAGCTAGAGAATTCTACAATAAAACAGAATTATGAAAAAGCCACGGTAAAAAAAGGCTACATCCTTATCTAGAGGGAAGAATAGTGATGAGAATAAAAAGACAAGTAGAAGCCATTAGTCCAGTCGATAAATGGACCACATAGATGTATGTGATGGCACATTGTGGGATTACAGTGGACGATTTGAAACAAAATATGTGTGAACTCTTTGATGTAAAATTGATTATATGCCCAGTAAACCTTCACCTAATTCACAATAAAAATCCTAAAAGGAAAAAGCCATAGAGCGACCTTACATATTCATTAGAACATCTTTCTGACAGCATTGTGGAACATGAAAAGCATAATCCATTACCCAAAGCAAGACCAGTTCCCGCTGCAGTAACAGGCAATGATAAAGCAATTTTTAAAAAGCCCACAAAGAAATGGGAACATAAAATAGGTCTCTCTACCTCTGATAACAAATACAAACACTGAGATAAGTATTATAATGATAGCCCCTAGACTTCATTGTTTCTACCATACAATTTAAGATATGGACCTCCACTTTCTTGAGAACTCTATAATGAGGAAGTCACAATTCCTACAAAACTTTTACACATTAATTGTACCACTAACGATTGCGTGGCACAGATAATACAGAAAGGGAGAGATCACATCCAATTGGGAGTCATCAAGACTATTTTATCCTGTCCTTTGAGAATAGGTAGTTTGGGCACTGATGAAAGAAAGAAAGACGGCTTAGATAAATAGAGATGTACCATGATCTTGGAATGACAAACAATATTGTTAAGACATCACTTGTGAATACTACACAAATCCAATTTTCAAATTTTTTTGAACAAGCTAATTCTAAAAGTTATATACAAAGTCAGCGGAACCGAACAGACAAAAAACTTTTGAAGATGTGTTGTTTTCAAGGCTTAAAAAACCACAACACTCAAGACTGTCATATTGGCAAATGGACATAGGCCAATGGAACAGAATAGCAATTCTAGAAGTAGATTCACATATATGGTCAATTGATTTTTGACAAAGTTATAATGGTAAATGAATAGCGAAAGAGTAATCGTTTTAGCAAATTGCTACATGTTGATTGCCCAATGCCACAAACTACAGAAAATTAACATGGTTCATATACTTAAATATAAAACTATATGGCTTTCAGAAGTCAATCTTTGTGACTTTGAGTTAAGCAAAGCTTTCTTAGATATGGTACCAAAAGCATAATCCCTACAAGTGAAAGTTGAAGTGGACATCAAGAAAAATTAAGAATTACTACTTTTGAAAGACACGTTAAATAATGTAAAGACAAGTTATTGACTGGGAAAAAAGTTGCAAATCACATATCTGAGGAGGACATATACATAAGGGACTCTCAGAATGTGCTAATAATAAACCTGACTTTAAATTGGCAAATGTTTTTCACAGATACTTCACCAAAGAATATATACAGATGGCTTTAAGCACTTGAAAAGACATTATAATGTAAATTAAAACCATAATGAGATATCACTAAACTTACATTAGCATGTCTACAATGTAAACATAACAAACATCATCAGACAATATCAAGCACTAATCAGGATGTGGAACAGCCATTTTTCTTACGTTGTCATTAAAATGCAAAGTGGTGTAGCCACATCAAAAGACCTTTTCTTTTGAAGGAGCCTGGTAGTGTGGTGGTGCACTGGGCTGCCATCCACATGGTCAGCAGTTTGAAACCACCAGCGGCTCCAAGTGACAAAAATTGTGTCTTCTCCCGCAAACGGTTACTCTCTTGGAAACCCACAGAGGGTCACTGTGAGTTAGCATTGACTTGATGGCAGTAAATTTGGTTTTCCCAATAAAATGATCTTTAAAAACAAAAAATCAGTTTTATAAAGTTACACTCATCTTAAGATCAGCACTTCTACTTCTTGATAGTTACCCAAATGAAAGAAAAACATATACCAATATAAAACTTCATATGTAGATGTTTATAAGGGCTTTATTTGTAATCAAAAATGGAAGAAATTAGACATGGGTTCTAAGTATTGGCAGGTCATTGAAATTTCTTAGACATGGAGGGCCAGTACCTCAAAGAGAATGGCTGAGCTACTGCTAAGGTTTACAGTATAAGTTAGCCTTGAGACAGGAAGGAAGATGAGAGGCACATGTAGTGCCGTGACTGAGGTAACCAGTTGCTCTCCAATCACTTCCAACCCAGGTGACCCCATGTGCTACAAGCTAGAACTTCACTCTGTGGTGTTTTCACGACAGATCTTTGGAAGCAGATCCCAGGCTTTCATTTGAAGTGCCTCTAGGCAGATTTAAAGGAATATCCCAGCTAGCCCAGTGCTTAACAGTGTGTCTCCTGAGCTATATGGAAATTGGTCTCATGTTAAGAGTAAGGGAATGGAAAAAAAAAAATAAGGGAACGTTTGAGACCCAAACTGTCTGTTATCAGTTTAGTGCAGCTGATGTAGGAAACTTTAAAAGGAATCTACCAGCTGCATTGAGGGCCAGCTGAAGTTAAACACAGAATTTGAGTTAGAGCTTTCCCTGCCAAAGAATCTACACTGGCGCATAGCAACCCTATAGAACAGAGTAGAACCGCCTCTGTGGGTTTTCAAGATGGTAAATCTCTGTGATAGTAGAAAACCTCGTCTTTCTTCCACAGAGTGGCAGGCAGTTTTGAACTTCTGACCTTGCAGTTAGTGTCCCAATGTGTAACCCGTTGACAACCCGGGGCTCCTTGACTTAGCCCTAGTATACATGAGTTGCTGGTCTTTGTTTTTATTTAACCTGTTCCACACCCCCTAGTAGAGAAGGCAGAAAAAAAGGTTCCTTGGGTTGATTGGACATGGTAGGTAGGCAAGGAGTTGTTTCTTGGGTGCAGTGGAGATCTTTCAAATAGATGAACTGTGAAGTTCATGTCACAGTAGGAGCTTGTTCATATATCTTGTTACATCACTATAAACTTCAACTTGCCATAATACGATTTATTTTCTCATTTGTCTCAAGTACCCTTGGAAAGCTCTCGAAAAGAGGTAGTGGAGACAAGCTTCCTGAACTTCTCTGGCCTTCAATGGCTACAGAACCAAGAAAGACTTCAGTCCCACCCCCACCTGACCAGGCTCCTGAAGAGGACCTTGTAATTGTCAAGGTTGAGGAAGATCAAGGTTGGGATCATCAGGAATCTAATCAGCATAATAATAACAACCCTACTGGCCAAGAGTTATTCCGAGTTCGCTTCAGGCAGTTATGCTACCAAGAGACTCTAGGACCCCGAGAAGCTCTGATCCAACTGCGGGCACTTTGCCATCAGTGGCTGAGGCCAGATTTGAACACCAAGGAGCAAATCCTGGAGCTGCTAGTGCTGGAACAGTTCTTAATCATCCTGCCTGACGAGCTGCAGGCTCTGGTTAAGGAACACCAGGTGCAGAGTGGAGAGGAGGTGGTGACCCTACTGGAGGATTTGGAAAGGCAGATTGATATACTAGGGCGACCAGTAAGTAGAAGGGGCTGTGCATGTTGCAACTTGTGGGAATTCTGGAATCTGGGATGGAGGGACATGGGTATCACAGTGGGAGAATAAGTCCAAAGCACTGGTTTCTGTGTCATGAGGATAAACAGAATTTGGGTATGGTATGACTTGTATTTCTAGAGTTAGTTTTGTGTTTGTTTTGATGGGGGTGGCGGGGTAGACAGGTAAAAGGATATCTGCTTTGGGAACACAAAACATTGGTGTTTCATGCAGCAGGGAGGACACCAGCAGAAATCTTTTCCTTTGCTATTGAGCAGAAATGTTTCCTTTCTGTTCATATTCATGCACCTTATTACTCCTAGGAAGTAATGAGATTCTTTCCTCCCACACATATCCCTTGTAGAAGTGTTCTTGGTTCTCTTCTTACATCATTAACCACATCTCAAATGGATTCCCTTTTAACCTGCTTCTCCGTTCTTTCTAGGTCCCAGCTCGTGCACATGGACATGGAGTACACTGGGAGGAGGGGGTGAATTCTAAATCTCTCCCAGAGCCTCCAAGGACTCAGTCCCAACCTGCAGCAACCCAGCACAAATCTCTAGTCCCCCAAGGGCCAGAAGAGCGAGGTGAGGAGGCAGATGCCATTGGTGATGAAGGGAAGAAGTGCAAAGGAAAGAAAGTATATTGGGGATTATTTTCTACATCTAGAGAGCAAGCAACTATAGAATATGTGCTTTAAACTAGTGTCAACTGGGTTTAAATGTGTGTTTTTTTTATGTTTGAATGCATGTTCCTTTATTAAACCCCTATTCTATATTTCTTTTCTTTTTTAACATTTTATTAGGGGCTCATACAACTCTTATCACAATCCATTCACACATCAATTGTGTAAAGCGCATTTGTACTTCATTCTCA